TGATAAACTTTTCTTAACCTTTGAACCCTTGCCAATTAAAAGTTAAATCTTGTCTCATATAATATTCAAGCTCTCTAATTGACTTTTGGTATCATTATTGGCTGTAAACAACAAATATGTGGGCAAAGAAACAGACATTATGTAACATGTTGGAACTTGGAGCCCTCATCACCCATTGTTATTACCTCTCAAAAGTTGAAACTATTGAATGAACAAATGTGACCAATTGAACGGAAAGGTCAGCGTGTCAAGTTCCTCCAAAGTCCAAACATGCAATTGCAGAATCAAACAATAAAAAATTCTAGTGCCAAAAGTAAATTACGGTTTAATCAAAAAGTAAAAGAAAGCATTAGCAAGAAGAGAGAAAATTCAAAATATGTGGGTCAGATTCTGATCTACCCAGTTGATCTCAACCTTTTTGCTTTTCTTTTTCTTTTATTCAATTCAAAGAATTTTCCTGAACCTCTCCCAGTTCTGAACTTGGTTGACTATTTGAAAGATTGCAGAACAATAAAGGCCTTATCTTATTAATCAGTGTTAAAAATGCATTAAAAGTACTATAAAAGTGTATTTTAACTAATATTCTTGATTAGTGTTTGTTAAAAGTAAATTTTACTTATCTTATGGCACGTTAGAGTCGGTGATATTTATATTGGTAAAAATGGCTTTTATGTCAGAAACGCGTTTGTGGTTGAACTTTGAGCTTTTGAAATAAAGAAAGGAAAGTCGTAGACAGAGGAAAAACCAAATGAACTGGGAACAGCTTCTTAGGCACACCATGTTGCAGACATCACATAACACAAGTTATCATGAGTGTGGTCGTAAATGTAAATACGTTCAATTTTGCGTGTTGGAAGGGATGTGTTTGTGTCGGTGCGCATGTAGCACACACCCACACTTTGTTTTTGTCTAATCTATTTCTAAGCCACTCACATAAATGGAAATATCAAATATGGAATGTGCACTTCCAATTGAAACCAATTGCTCTTTTTTTCAACCACACGCTCCAACAAACACTACCTCTTCAATAAGCAATAATGCAAGTAAACAAACACAACCATTGAAGTTCTAATGAAATTAATGCTTGTAAAATCATTTTTGAGTCACAAAATTTTTGTCCTCGTACAATATCATCATACGAGCAAAATAATACTTGATACGAAAAATGTTCGAATCGAAACCAAAAGACTAGAAATAGTGTCCCTCTTAGTAGGTCATGCATGAATAAACAAACAATCTCACCTTTTATTTTTAGTTTATTAATTCAAATATTTACATTTTAATTACGTACATGATTTAATTTGATTGCATTTGCATATGAATATGCTGTTATTATATTACTATTATTATTATTACTACTACTACTTATTATTATTATTATTATTATTATTATTATGAGAACTTGTATTTACTTCATTCAATAATCTCTAAGGATAGTGTAATAACTCTTTTAGTTGGGTAAAATTGATTTCACATGGCTAAATACACGAGATTGACCTGCTGACTAATTAAGTTAATTAGTAAAATACTTATAATATTAAATTATTATTTTTTGTCAAATACTTTTGAATTCATTATAGTTATATATAAGTATTTTATACATTAAATTTTTAAAAAAGGTAAAATCAATCACATCAACAAATAAATAATGGTGAATAATTGACCTTCAAAAACAAACGGTAAATGATTAAAATAGTTAAACATTTAATTAAAGATAGAATATGTGAGGCAACGTTATATGAAAATAACATATCCCTTGTTGTTATAATTGTAGAATTGCTATTACTCAAAAGGCATACTCATGAAGAACAATTTGCAATGGAAAGAATTTAGACCACACATTGATCACAGCAAGGGCGTGTTCATTCTCAAATTATTCCCAATCGCTTGGTGTATGAAGGTACTCTATTATTGGATAAAACCACTTTATATAGTAAACAAAATGACTTGACTGCAAACAGAAATATAATTACTGTTGGAAAAAGGGGGAAATATATACCATAAATTATAAACCAAAGTTCAATTTGGCAGATATAGACGAGACATGTACCAGAGTCAAATCCATCTCTCTTTCTATTTCATTTTTGTTCTTCACATGTATGATAAATCAAGCAAGAATAGAAAAGCATACATAAACTCCTTAGAGACTAATTTCTCATGACACTTCACGTACTGAAGTGAGAATCTTTCTTTAAAAGGTATTTCTTTTCATATATACATCCAGATTATGATCAAACATAAAATCAAATGGTTATAAGAAATTGGATTATCTATTCCTCAGACCAATTGATTATGATTATATATATATATGATACTTTTTTTATTTTACTACTTATAAACAATATGAACTCAAATTTTCTTGTAATTTTTCTTTTATGCTAAGAAATGCAGTCTCGATAACACAAAATTGAATAAGAGCATTTTTAAATGATAATAGTATTTAATATATCGAATATATGCAGCACTGGATTTAAAAAATTATAAATTTCAAAAGTAAACAAATTTTAAAATATATAAAATTGTATTATGTAAGACTGTAAATTATTTAAATCTTAAATATATATATATATATATATATATATATATATATATCACTTTTGATTAAAAAATATTAAAAATATAATTTTACTAAATTTGATATTTAGTATAGTGATATTATTGGATATAGACTCGTGTATTTATACGTCAAATAAAAAATGTCACGTTTTATTTTAAAACTATAATTTTATCTATCAATCCATATATAAATATTACATGATGGTTGTGATTTTTTTTTATGATAATAATTTTCATATGATCTCATATTCCTTTGCTTTTTTCTCTCCATACCTCTCTCTCTCTCTGTGTGTGTGTGTGTGTGTAGAAGCATTGATCCTGAATGTTTATTACACGATTAATTAATAGTTACATGGTTCCTTCTTAAATAATAGGGTAAGTTAAAAAATCCCTCAGCCCCAGTTCAACTTTAATTAGGAAACAAATATTTCATGTCATTTCATAGTTGAGAAATGAATATAGCAATATTTTTTACGTAAGATAAGAAAAACGATTGTGCTTCTTAGCTTTTGGTTCATCTTTTGTAAATTAGAAAGGATTCCATCCAAATGCATATTAAAATAATTGCACTTCAAGTCTTTTATTAAATTTCAATTTTATAGTTTTTCTTTTTTACGATATATATGCACTTTACATTTTTTGAATTACATTATTTTAATATTTAAAAGAGATATTATATGTTATATATATATTTTTTATTTTGTCATCTTTTTCATATACACATATTTCAAAATTACATTTTTAAACTAAAAGAGATATTAAAAAATGTTCCGCTTTAAATATACAAGAGATTAAAAGAGATACCAAACTTTTAATAGAATTTTTTTAAAATTTATTTTGATAAAATGTAAATACTTAATATTATTATAAATGATCAAAAGAAAAATATAATTTTAATTAAACATAACATAAAAAGTACTTACGCAAGAAAATTAATTGTACACAGTTTATTTTATGTTGAACTCAAATTCCTGCAGACATCCCTAAGCTTTGAGACTAATGATATACCCCCATACCGAATTATAATACTTCTCAAAATGCATTTTTTGTTGAAGTAGAAATTTCTCAATTATCATAAAGGGATGTTTCAACCCCAAACAAACAAGCTATAAATACGTGTAACTGGGTCATATGTCATTGAGAATTGAATACAAATAACTCTAATTTTTTTGTTTAAGCAACCTGTAGATCTAGCTAATAACATCAAAGAAGGGTAAACATATATACCCCACACAGACTGATCGCAAATTGAAAGACAAAAAGTTATCATGCAACCTTAGCTTTTCTGTTTTTCAAAAATGATTGTCTCGCACTTTTCTTGGGTGTGAGGATAAAAAAGATTATAACAAATAAGAGAGAGAAAATGAAAAATATAATAAATGATATGATGAAAAATAATAATAAAAAGTAAGTATAAAAATGAAGAAATGAGAAAATCAAAATTGTTAACACAATCCTTTTATACCATTCATATATGCATCATCTTGCTTTCTTAAATTATTTTATTACTCAAAATATCAAGTTATCACAGAAGACACGGCTTAAATAACGTGTTGCTACTTTAAAGTCATAAGTTCATACCTGAGTCTGAAATTCAGCTACTAATATGATGTGCTAGCTCTCTCACACATGCACAGGGTCAATGTCACTAACCATTCGGGTTTCCGAATATGACTTGCATGCAAAACCGAAATCACCTTGCCATCAGAAACCTCACTGGTAAACAAATTAAGGTTTGACATATCCATGATTTGGAGATCAATGATTCAACTGAAAGGTAAAAGTTTTTTCTTTGCAATACGTACAAGGCAGGTATCAACACGCTCCTCACTTCATATTTGTACAATTTCATATATCAAGTTTTTTTTTTCCACTACTTCTAGACTTTCATTCTACCTCCTCTTATTATATAAATTCACATACACACGACTTATTCATTGTCTCTCTTCAATATTGTTGAGTTTAATCTCAATATAATATTGTCGTTTTCAACGCTAACGGGGACACTCATGCCTGGCTACATTTGCTCTTACCGACACCCTCAAGAACATTAACTTGAACTAAGTATATAGCATTCATCGATAAATTGTAAACCCTACTTCAGCTTCTGATCCATTGTATTTGTATATATACACATTGTATGGATATGGAAGAGTAGCATCATGCATTTATATATATATATATATATATATAAAATAAAATCCTCCTTTTTCTTTTTTATTTGTAACCATTAAGCAAAAGCGAAAGTAACATCACTTTGTGTATAGTGCCTCATTTTAGCAAACCTTGAAATTGTGCGTCTCCACATATAAGGATAGACATTATGATGAGCTTTAACTGGTGAATATTTTTTATGGATCTTTTGCCCGTTTTCGGTTGTTAGTTAGGTACTGCAAATTGTGCTCTTTTATATATATATCTCTAATCTACACCTACTACTTGAAGAATCTCTATGAAAACATTGATGTTGGGATAAACATTGGTCTTCTCTCAATGATAACAGAGTTGCATGACCCAAAAAAAAAACATATGTAATTATTTGCCGAGTGCCAACAAAAAAAAAATAGAGAGAGAAAATCCTAACCACAAGACCATAAAGTTAACCTCCAAGATATATAATAAAATTGAGAGTTTTTGGAACAAACCTTGATCTTAAATTAAGCTTTGCTTGATGAGAAGAAGAAACACATACAAAGTTAGCTAGAGCTAGGCAAAGAAACTACTACATCTCTTCTCTTCTTAGCTTATTTAGCAGAGTTGTGATAAGAGCATCTCTCTTGTCAGCCCTAACTTCCTCTCTAATCCTTCTTTGTTCTTCCCTCTCTCTCCATCTTTGGTCCATCATTATCCTCTCTTTCTCCAATGCTTCCATGGTTTGCCTCCACTCCATCTCCTTCAACCTCCTCTCATTCTCCCTTGCCTCAAATGCTTCCATCCACTGTGCTTCCATTTGCATTTGTTGCCTCATGAACTCCTCAAGAATCTCCTTCAAACTATTCAAACCGCTATTATTCCCACTACCACTACCTCCTCCACCAACCATCTTACCTTTTTTCTTCTTCCTGCTGCTACTACCCTTGTGATCCCCCTCACTCTCTTCATTGCCTTCATCTTCTTCTTCAGAAGATAGCTGCACCCCTTTTTTCTTTGACCCTCCTTCTGCTTCAGCCCACAGCATTCTCTGCATCCTTGAAGTGAAAATCGCTTGAAGCTCATTGTAAAATGGAAATTGCTGCCTCATAGCCTCTGGCTCCATCGTTTCACATCCCTTTAAATCTCAACAACAAAAACAATAGTACTATCACTATATAAAACATACCCACAACCCACGAAAGCCTCGTAACATAAATTACACAACAAACACTAATTTTCACTTAAAAATATATATGCTTTTTAAAACCTTTAAATTAATGTTTTTCTTGAAAATTCCACCTTTATCACGAGAGAGAAAAGTGTACCAATCTACCATGAAGAAAAGGCCAAAAAAAATAAAAGTTAATATATGTGATTAATAATTAGAATATGATTTTATTTGAGTTGATGCAATTAATATATAATAATATGTCTATAAATGAAAATATAAAAATACCTTATAGCGGGTAACGAGGTTTTTCCACTTGCACTTGCACTGCTCTGCACTTCTATGGTAACCCTTTTCCTTCATCTTGTTGGAGATGACTTCCCAAAGTTGCTTGTTCCTCTTTGTCTCCATGAAAGTCTGATCCAACTCTGCACGGATCACGAGAAACTCTTTTGTCTCTTGAAGGCTCCATTGGGGGAACCTATCCGTCACATCCACGTTAACACTAGTTGTCATGTTATGAGGGTGTTGATGCTGCTGTTGTTGTTGATGATGATGTTGCCGCTGATGATGGTGGTGATGATGTTGGAGATGATGACCCTCCATGATAAAAATTGAAGACCAAAACCAAAGTGAAAGAAAGACTCAAATCCAAGAAAGAAAGAAGAAGAAGAAGAAGAAGAGAAGGTGGTGGCTCTGAATGATATAGAAAAACTTATTGAAGAGTGTTTTTGGTTATGGAGGAGATTGATAGAGAGAGAGGGAGAGAGAGAGAGAGAGAAAAGATGAGAGAGAGAAAGAGAGGAAGAATATATATGTAGGTGGGGGTGTAGTGTGAACATCAGGTGTGAATTGCGTAATAAAGAAGAGGGAAAATGAAAATAAAAAAATAAAAAGAGAAATTTTCTTTGGCTTAGGTGTCGAAGTAGATGTCTTTCGTTTTTTCGTAAGAGAAATTTAAAAGGCTGAAAAATGAAAGCTATAGAAATTGTTCTTTTTTGTTTTTCCTTCGTAAAAGTAATAACACAACCCTTGAAACCAAAACACACATGTCATCCACAAAGTCCATCAATTATGTGTTTCATTTGTGCAAAGCTTAAAAAATTCAATTTTTTTCCTTTTTTTTCCATTTTTTTATTTTAAAAAATTTGAATGATATGAGACTCACAGTCTCATCTGTCTACGCGGAAACTCTCTCTCTCTCTTCGTATCTCTTTCTTTAGTTTCCCTTAATTTATTAGCGTTCCCATTGCGTCAAAATTTCGTCACGCTGACATGAAAAGTTTCTCTCCCGCGGTTTGTTTATTTATTTATCTCTACTACCGCTCCACTTCCATGCCAAGTTTCCATTTTCTTTCTTATACATATAATTTTGAAGTTTATTTAATAATTTTATGATATTATCAAGTATATCTTACCCTCTTGCTTATTTTGCTTTTATGTGTAATTTTCTAGTAGTATAATAATTTATTGTAATGAGCAGAAAAGTTATGTCTATAAATGGGTAGTACACTATCCAATTAGACATTTAATTATGTTTTAAAGAAATTATTAAAGTCTCTTTATTTTGCTCTTTTTTTTTTTGAGATTTGATTAACTTTTATTGTGTTTTGTGTATGGCTATATGCTTTAATTAACTTTCTGCGCGTTCTTTATATCCCCTCGTGGGAGGGTGACATAGAAAAAGGCTTCGCTACCATAATACCCAGGATGTAAACTCCAGATTTATCTTACTTTTGCATGGATTTCGAAAATCCAAAAGTTTAAGTTAAAGAGAAAAAGAAATCTTCTTTTTCTTTTCGGATCCATCTACGATTTCCTTATTTGATGATTCCAGTCGTAAATGTATTGTTACATTACTAACTTTGATATACCCATAGTCTAATTTATTTGGTTAATTAGTTGAATAATCTAATTAGTTATATTTGTATATATAAATGATTACTAATTACCTAATATAGTCTACATAAATAGGTTATTAAGCTTGTGTCAAACACATTTTTTCTCATGCAATGAATTTCTGTTTCTCTCACATTTTTCTTTTAGTTTTTTGTGCCTTTCTTTGTTTTTCATCCCATAACATCATAAAAACCATAAGGATTTTAATTTTGGGTAATTGAATATAAACATAGAATTGTATGTTTTAAAAGTTTACACTTTTAAAGATATACCAATACATCATCAATAATGATATAAGAGACTTTCACGGAGACAATCAAATATGAATCCAATTTAGAATCGTTTGCATAATTTAATTTTGATTTTGCGTCCACATACACTTTTGTTATCATTGAAATAGGGTTACTTAGATCTTTATCATTTTCTATTTAAGTACTTGAATAATTCTTAACATTCCCACCAATAAAAGACTCTAAATAAAGATTAAGATTAAAATTCTTAAGTCACTTTAAGTTATTAATTAATCATCGTAAAGTGAAGAGAGAGACTGAGAGAAGTGTTGTGGGCCTACCCTATGGTTGCTATCACATACGCGGAATTCTGCTTTGTGGAGTCGCACGTGCGAGTGGCCAACCATATCCTACCACGTGGAGAATAGTGGGGTCCACGAGTCCACGGTTCTCTCCCTGGAACATGACCGGTTCAGCAATTCTAGACCGTCCTCAGCAGACCGTTTTTTTGCTTTAAGGGTGTTTTCAATTTTAAAAAATATTTACCTTTCTTTAAAATTTTCTCAACCAACTTTTTAATGTTTTAAGGAGGCACGCTAGGGAGGAAGAGAAATTAAACTACTCTATGTTTTAAGGAAGATTTTATAATTTGTTTTAAACATATTTAAAATGTTATGCATACCAAAGTTAAAACGTAAATTTGTAATTGTTTTTCCAAAGATTCAACGATGAACTCAGGCTTCATAAATAATATTAAAAATCTTCACTAATCTTTAAGAATTAGTGTATTTTGAAAATTCTTAAACTTAAGGAAATAATTATTTGTTTTTAATCTAAAAATTATAATAATAATAGATAATTATTTCTTCAAACTAAGTTCAGCCAAATAGACTTTATTATTATAAATTATTCTCCAATGCTTAATATTTTTTTTTTCTAATAAACGAAACTAAAAAAATCCAAAAACGGCAAAAACTTAAGAAATACATCTAAGATGCCATAAACTTAAAGTATCTAGATTTAAGAAAGAGTATAAGGAATACTTAATATATTTAATATTTAGAATTAAGATCATTTATATTTATAATTCTTAGATATTAAGTTCACCGTTAAATTCGATTTATTTTTATTTCAGTATGTTTTATTTTACAATACAAAATACCACTGTATCTTCCAGTTATTTTTAAAAAAATACTATAATGAAAAGGTAAATAATCAATGATTACAAAATATTAATATTTTATTTTATATCATTAAAGTATGATTAGCGGGATTAATGAAAATATTTTGAAGTTTGATACGTTCTTAAAAGAGTGCATGATATTTCTTGTACCACAAGAATTTACTAAACATGAATAGTAAAAAAAGAAAAGCATTAATTGTGCCGTAGACCATGCTACAATTTGTAGGAGCGAAAGTGCACCAGCCCAATGCGTCTCTTTTAACCAATAGAATATTGACACGTTACAGTTAGATGAAGATATTGTCAAATTTTGGTCATACAGGTTGGTGAACCCCACTGCACTTGTTAAATTCTGAAAGTGAAACGTGGATCGTTTTGATGCGGATAGCACCGTGCAATCTTAGCCCTTCGATTTTGAAAGATAAATCATTCCAATCTCCTCGCGCTCGGGCTATTAATAATGTCATTTCTTTCTACCCATTAATTTAATGCCATTTGTAATATAAACTTAAACAAAATCATTTAATTATCATGAAAAATTTTATACATTCAATATTAACTCCTTTATTCATATATCTAAATAAACAGAAAATACAAGATATGTTACTTTATAAAGTTTAATATTTTTTAATATCTAAACAAAATATTTTTAAATAAATATTATTTTTATTTTTATAAAAATATTTATATATTTCATAGTCTAACCCTATTAAAAGAATATAAATATTATTTCTATAACATAGGATAAACAAATTTAGTCTAAGTCAATAACATTATTTTTTATAATTTATTTTATGTCTAACTTCTAATTTTATTATTACTATATTACAGATGATATTTGATGATTTTTAAAAATATATTTTTCATATATGAATTATAATAACTTTGTATCAAAAAATTATATATATTAGGGTCACATTAAAAACTATTTGTAGTACCTGTATAACGATTTATATAACATTCTTATGACAGGTTACTCTAATATATATTTTCACATAATGTGTATTTGTATACAAATTTAATATCTCATATTAATAATCTATGTATAAAACTCGATCATCAGTTTATTTACGTATTACTATTAACGTATTATATTATTTTTATTCTTAATATTTGAATATAAATATTTTTAAAATAACGTTAAGTAAAATTTACAATAAATTTATGTAATTAATATTATAAAATTGTATTCTTATTCTTAAAAATCATTATATTCTTTTAAAAAATAAATATAAAATGTCACATTTATGAAAATAAATAATTGTGATGTAATTGATATATTTGTAACATAAAAATTCCTAATACATGGCCTACCATTATTAAATATTAGATGATAATATAAATAAAATAAATTAATATTAAATTTATAAAATAATGAAATTTTTGAAATATTATAAGTAGCTTTATTTATATTTTTTAAAATAATATCTTAAGGACATTCAATATTTGTACTTTTAAAAATAAAATTTGTTAAACTAAAATTTACAAATTTAGTACTTTAGTTACCAAACTACATTGAATGTTTTTTTCTTTAAGCAATTAAGATTATTTACTAAGATACATTAAATATTTAATCCCAAAACTTCCTTTTCAAACGATCCCAAAGTTAAATTCTCAATTCCCCGTTAGTTTAATTTTTAACTATATTTCTTTATATTATGGTAAAATACAATAAATTCTTTTAAAATTAACAGTATTAAAACCTGAACCTAACATATATATGGGAGTTGATTAGAATGTTTAGTTGAACCTATTGACTTTTGGGGTCAAACGATAATTCAATAGAATAAATATAATAAAAAACATCAGTCGATTTAAATAGCCAAACATTGTTAAACGAAAGATTATTTTATAATTAAAAGATGTGAGTCAAATTCGTTTGAGGTAATTCACTTTTGTGCTTTTGACAAAGAGAAAAATGTACGAAAACATCATTCGGTTTAAATGGCAAAACATTGTAAGAAGAAAAGATAGTTTGATCAATTAAAAAAAAGTGAGTCAAATTTGTTTGTGGGAATTCACTTTTGTGCTTTTGACAAATATAAATGCTATTTTTACAAATAATAATAATAATAACTTTGAAAGAGATAAAAAGAGAAAAGCGGGTGATTAGATAGATAATGTGATGGAGATAGAGAGAGAAAATATTATTAATATAAAAATTTTACAGTAAAAATTTCTCATAAAATTAATATAACTCTGACAAACAATCAAATGCACGTTCCATTGAATTGTTCCCATAGGCTCATATCAACGACTTATACAACTTTGCTTGTCCTAAATATTTTAATAATAATTTTTGAAAAATAGTCTTATTAAAGATGACTAAACGAACATCACATATATACAATTGATGTAAGTTTGAACTTCACTAAATTAAAAATTACATAACCAAATATAATCGATAAACATTATAAACAAATATGGAAGCAATAAGATAAGAACAATCTTTGGTTAAAAAAATTGTGTTGCATGCATTGACCGTGTATTGGAGTTTATTGTGTAGACTAGTGCATTAATAAGA